TTAGTATTGTATCTGCATTGTACGTTGTGTCTGTATTATATTCGCTCGTGTATTACTTATAATAATATCATTTGTATAATATAAATGCATTGTTCGTATTGTATATTTTAGTCCACTGTGTGTTAACTTTGTGTGTTGTTAGATATCTATTAAGTTTTCGTTTGGTGTTGTGTTATTAGTTCTGTAGTTTGTTCATCTACCATTATATTATTAAGTTGTTGTTTGTTGTCTTGTAGACTGTTTGACATGATTGAAAATGTTCAGAGTTAATCTGAAGTTCGTGTGTAGTTTACCATTCAATGACAGTATTGTTTTCACAATAAATCGTTCGAAATTGTTATTAATATCATATGTGCTTCAGAGACCTGCAGAATCTCATGAGCACTGTGTAAGATCATAAATTGTGTGTTTTATTTATTAAATTTGCTCGAGTATTACTAGTAATTTCTTTTTACTTTGCTGTGAAACTAATGAATCATGCTAGTAAAATGTATATCCAGTGTTGCAATGATATCCTTCTTTAATCATTGCTGTCTGCATTCGTTTACATTTGTATATGTGTTAAGCATTCAGCAATAGCTGATTTATGTCTTTGGATTGAAGCTTTGCATTGATTGTATATCAGTAATATCAATAATACTAGTTGTTTTTGCTAGATTGCTTCATTCTGAGATTGAGGAGGTTTTATGCTAACATATATTTGTTGCATAGATATTATATCTGGCTGTAGGCAGCTCACTATGTGTCTAGGTGCATCATATATGTATTATATCATGAATGTATTGTTTGTTTGTTCGCTTTACATTATTGTTTATATTTATATATTAATGTTGCATTCTGTAATGAATTGTTTCTGATGCATCCTGAGTAACTATACAATCTGTTGCATTATTTCTTCAATAGCCAACGTAATTATCTGTTGTAAATTGTTAGTAACGTGCATTCGTATTATTTGTTATTAACAGTGTTATCATGAATTGTTGTGATTGTAATGTCATGAATATTTATTAGTATTATGGCTATTGTTCTTTGCTTTTTCTTTTGTAAAGAATGATGTATTGTAACACAATCTGCATATAATTGATATATTGGATTATGTTTACTATAATCGTCTCCTAGCATACTTTAGTTAATCTAGTGGTATGCACAATTGTAGTATTCGTTCAACGTTTTATTTGTTAATTGATTAGCTAGGTAAAGTGTTTTATATATTAGTTTTATTTATTTTATTTGAATCATTGTATAGATATACTTATTAGTATCTATCTGATGTATTTCATAATGTTATAATGCTGTTCACACTTGTATTAATTGCATAGTGAGGGCAAATTAATTGTTTGTACAAGAATCGATTTAATAGTTTTATTTGATTATATGTATGTGCTCCATACTTGTTTGTATAGTTATTATCTTCGTATTGTTCAATTGTAGTTACAAATTATATTGCAATTATATTCGTATTATTGTATGGATGTATTATTTATCATTTTATGTATGTTCCAAAGTATTATTTTCATTATTCATCACTTTTATCCATGAACTATAGTCTGGATTGATGAATTATTTTGTTATATGATGTGATATTTGTTTGTAAATTATTTATTTTCGTATTAAACTTTGTTAAGTTAATTGGATTATTATATTAATATTATTTGCCAAGTATGAGCATTTGTTTTGTAGTAGAATTATTATTTATTTAACGTTGAAGTTCAATCATGTGTTGTGTTGACTTCTGTTATTTGTTCCAATTGATGTTATTTTGCATTATGTCAAATGATTTACCTTTGTGATCCGTTATATCTGTCTGTAACTTCTATCACTTATTGTTTTTTAGGATCAGTAATAAGATTGACGTTTCTGCATCATGAATATTCATTTGTTCATCTGCAGTTTCGTGTCATGAACGTTTGCACATTTGCTGCAAAGAATGCTTTGGGAATATGTGCCATTTCTAGGCTTTATTATTATTAATTTATTAATTATCCGTTTGAGTAACTTTTATAAGCATTGAAAATGTTATGTGATGTATAACTTTTATATTCTTTAATAAAGTATTTCACATTCGACAGATTCGTCGGATTCATTGCGGATTTCACTTAGTGACATAGTCAATATGTCTGCATTAAGAATTCAATGTTCATCATTAGTGTGTATATTATTCAATTACTCCCTTTCAATTCGAGAAGGTTATTCTTTGAGTAATTGACAAGTAGTGTAAGTACATAAGTACATTGTTGATTTCCTTTCATGTATTTGTAATCCAACAAGTAGTGTTAATACTTTGTTGTTTTACTTTCATACGTTTGTCAGTATGTGTTATAATATAACAGTATGTTTTAAGTTAACTCATGATGTTTGACATACATCATTTTGTTTAAACATTACACTGTAACATTGTACTGTTTGTTTTATAAATTTTAATGTGATGTTTGTAATATGTCTGTAATATTTCAGACGTGCTAAGAAATCTCTCTGTGTGTTTGCAGTTACAACATCAGTTGCACATCTATTCATATCTCTGATAAGATGTAATAGATATGCTTGTGTCTGCTTTTCTTTATATATTATACTGTCTGAGATAATGTGTTAAACGTTTTATTAATTTATTTAATCTTATTATATTATGATTGTTTTCGTTTGTAATCATTATAATAAGTGTGTCCATTGTAGTTTTTCTGTTGTTTGTTGTACTAGCCATATTGGCATAGTACTTCACTTGTATATAAGCTTTGTAGCTTCAATATAAGTTTATTTATGCTTTGTTAAAGTATATCTACATTCTGTACAATTAAATATGTTCTGTTACATTGTTGTAGTAATGGTAGAGGTATTATTCTACTGTTCACTGTTATTATACATCATTATTATATGTTTACACTATCATAGGTGTAAAGTATTGTTATTTGTTTAAAGACTATAATTGTGTACTCGTTCCTGTACCATAGTTACTGTAATGTACTTTGTAACTTTATTATTATTATTAATTCGTCCATAGATAGTTGTACACTTTTATAAGCTGTATTAGTGCATAGATATCGGATGTCTTAGATATTGGATGTATGTCTGCTAACTTCTTTATCTCATATCTGACATGTCTGACATATCCAAGACATGTACCCAAGACATGTCTTACATTAATTGTTTGGCTGTGATATTGTCATATATGTTATTATTTGATTTATGTTATAACATATGTGCATTTGTTGACAGTGTCTATCATTTGTACTATTATAATATTAATAGCGGATGAGTAGTGTCTGCTTTCTCAATCCTTCTAACGTTCGTCCATAGTATGATCAGTTATTTATAATAACATGATCTCTGTAATATTATAGAATATTTTAGTGATTAAATGTTGCAGTAAGTGATACTCATTGTAGTTTCAGCATCACAATCATAGATTATGTTATTACTGGGCCAATGATCATAATCACTAAGATGACAATCATATAATGTCTGGGTCGTATGTAGTATAGTAGATTGTGCGTCTGTAGCGTATCAATTTGTGTTTGGGATACTCAGACAGGTGAGTCAAGTTCTGCCTGATCAACGAAGCTCTTCCGAAGTGATGTGATGATTCAGGAGAGAAAGACTTATTTCTCATTCACCTTCTTTCTCCAGTGGAATCTTTCTGTCTGCCACCTTTGTAATTGTTGAGAGGGAAAACTTAAGGGGGGCACACATAGACAAGGGGTGAGGTGACGATTGACTGCTCAGTGTCTCTTGTCCTTATATTGTATGTATTCTAACTGAGACATTATGAAGTCATTGTCTTGTGGTTTGTCTGTTGATAAACTAATCATCTCATAATACTCCCCTTCAAACTCTTACTAGTCTGAGTAAACTGGTAAGATGTTTGACTTGTAGTACATGTAGTGCTTTAGTTAATATATCTGCTTGTTGATTGTTTGTCTGTATGTATTTTGCATTTATGTACTCTAACTCAATGTAGCATTTAATAAAATCTTTCTTATAATCTAAATGCTTTGTTTGTTCCGAATATTTGAGTTTGTCTGATGTAACTGTTTGTATAACAGTATTGTTATTACAATAGATATTAATTAGTGTATCAGAGACCTACAGAATCTCTTCAGCTAAATGAGTAAGTGTGATTGCTTCTTGTGTTCCTCTTACAAGAGCTATTAATTCAGCTTCATACATTGAATTTGCTACCAGTGTTTGTCTTTTACTTGACTACTGTTAACATATATGGAATGACACATATAAGCAACGGACGTACCTGAGACATAGCTACATATTATATATACCTACTAAATCAACGGACAATGACGCTAAGTAGAGCGAGCCGAGTCCACTATCCCCCCTCTTTGTGTGATCCCTCTAAGCCTCTCACATAACCCCTCTCAACAGGTTATGAGCCTTGCACTCCCTGCCTACGCTTTATCTACACTCTACTATGTCTATGCTCTATACAGTTCTATGCATCACATGCACACACGCAGCATACTACGACCGTGTTGATGGCAACATATAATTCTTGGACTCTCTTTCACATGTTGTTTCTTGGTAGTACACAAGAGTGTTTACACTTTCCTTCATCTGTGAACCTTAAGCTTAGCTGTGCATACGTATATTCTATTGTTACAGAAATGATAAGATGGATATTACTTCTTTAGCGTACCGAATGACCACATCGCGACTACACTTTCTTCCAGGGGTGTCAAAGGAAGGCTGTTCGAGTTATTCTTCTAATCATGGCGCCGACTCGGAGATGCGTCATGTCCACGCTGCAATGCGTCCCTGCTGGTAATACAGCACATTGACCGAGATCAATAAATTGTCCAATCCGGTGAGTTTGTGACGCAATGCGAGACAAGTCTCTTACTAAAGGATATTGCTGACGTTTTGACTGCAGTAGCACAATTCATAATCATTGGCACAAGTCCGAGATCAACATCGGACTAAGATCAATGTAGAATAGTATTTAAGCAGATTAAGAGGACACCATGCCTCCATCACAGAGTGTCAGCCCAGTAGTAATGGCTCCATCTATTCCTACATCTGCTCGCACAGTGGTTCTTCAGAACCATATCTCAGCAGAGCATGATCTTGACCTCTCTTCGTCGCCCTCTGGGACCTTTACCGTCAAGGAGATTCCTATTCCTAACCCGCTTCCGGAGGACTCCCTTCTCGTTCAAGTAACCTATCTCTCCAATGAGCCAGGACTTCGTATCTTTCTACAAGAGTCTATACAGTTTGAACGTAATGATATGGTCCCATACCAGCTTGGTTCGCCCATTATGTTGCATACAGCACTCGGTCGCATCCTGCAAATCGGTGGTAACGATTCGAACGGAACACATAAAGTCGGGGATATCGTCCAAATATCGCGGTCTTCCTGGGCAGATTATGTCGTTGTGAAGAAAAACGTAGCAAGACCAAGGAAGTGAGTCTTGTAGTTCCAAGTACAAGTTGGTAACACATGTTCCTGATGCATTGCTCTAGGGAGATACCTGGTGTTCCCATCAGTGCATATGTAGGCGGCCTTGGATCGTCAGGAGCTACAGCATATTGGGCATTGAAAGATATTTTGAAGCCTAAGGAGACTGACACACTCGTCGTAAGTGGAGCTGCAGGGTAAGTCCCGTAACGACGCGAACAATCCTTTTAATGACTTTATTGCAGAGCTGTCGGGAACGTGGCCCTTCAGTTTGCAAAGAAAGTCATAGGAGTCAAGCGTGTTATTGGTATCGCTGGTACAGACGAGAAATGCAAATGGTTGAAGAGCGTTGGGGCGGACGAAGCAGTTAATTACAAGAGTCCGACGTTTGTCGAAGACCTTAAGAAAGCAACTCCCGATAAGGTTGATTTGTGAGTAACCTGACACTAAATTGTGTTGATGCTGATAATGTGTCATGCAACAGGTTTTTCGATAACGTTGGCGGATTGATCCTGGACGAGGTGATGATGCGTATGAAACCTCACGGAACCATATGCGCAGTCGGTATCATGGCTCGTGAGGTCCCTATCCTTTTATTCAAAGTATAGTTACTGAGTTCCGGGGTAAAGATATGAAGGATGCACAGGCACCATTCGTTTTGCGTAACTATGGGCAAATACTCGTCAATAGACTGTTACTAGAGGGTTTCACGCTCTATGACTATTTTGACCGGCTCGGCGAGGCCGAAGAAGCACTTACTGCGGCAGCAGTCGCAGGGAAGCTTATTTTGAATAGTGCGGAAACTGTTGTCGATGTCCATGGAAAGGTTGAGGAGATACCAAGAGTCTGGAATGGGTTATTTACCGGCGTAAATACTGGAAAGCTGATTACGAAGGTAGCAGACTGACACGGAAAGAGGCAGAGAGGTGAATTATAGAATACTTCGTAGTAGTACTTTTCGTCTTGTATCACGGATATCAACTGCCCCGAAAGAAAACAATTAAATAGGTTTCCAGAGGATTATCGATGCATAGGATCGATACATAGGAGCATGCCAACCAGGCGTCCTGGAGGACTATGAAGAAAGTTGTTTACCTGAAATTATGTGATAACACTCAAACGTATTTGAATTTGAGCCTTCGAAAAATACATGGTCAGATTTGGTCGAGTGCCTGTTCCCACGATCACCTACGTGTCGATCGCCAAAAGTCCAAAAGGTCATTACCCGTCTTCACTTCTTCCTCCCACATCCCGTCTTCATCTCGGTCCGCTCTGCTACAGAGTGGGTCGTATTCTCTCTCAGGTTTTTCTCCGTCAAGGCATCTCGCTCAAGGTAATCTTGTTCTCTTACAATGGCAGCGCTTTCTGCGGCAGAACTTCAGGTGCGTGCAAACCGGCTGCGGCCACTTCAACCTTTGAAAGTGTTAATGATTGTTACATATCGCATGTAGAAGAGACATGAACTCGAGGGAGCTCCGGACCCCTTTCCGTCTCTTCGAGAGGAATCATCTCCTGCAAAGCCAAAGCGGAGCAATGGAACCGCGGCTGGTATAGATAACTCTGAGCTGGCCTTCCCTTCCCTTGCACCGTCTGGTCCCGTGCGGCAGGCTGCATCCTGGGGTGCTTCTCCCGGTGGTCCCCGCATTGCGCCTGCAGTACAGGCTCAGACGTTGCTTACTGAACGGTTCACAGTCACCGCTGCAAATGTTGACTTGTCTGGTCGCGATGGTCGTCCCGCAACTCTTCGTGACGCAGTGAAGCAGATGTCGGCTAGGCACCCTAAAGTTCGTGCGGAGGCGAGCTCATCGACTACTGGTAGCGGAGTCCGCGAAACAGAGTTCTTCCTCAAGTCTGAATCGGCTAAAGAACTCGAGCGCGCAAAGCGAACGCTGGTCTCCATTGTCAGTCCGCAGGTCAGTGTAGCTCTCTTCAGGTGTGACATTGAAGGAGGGGTGCTAATTTTACTGCAGGCGTCCATCATCCTCAATGCTCCTGCTTCCACCATTGCTACGATTATCGGACCCAAAGGCATGTATTTTGAAAGTGATACACTAGGTAGCAAGCCGTAAAGATTTATTCGTAGGTGCTTCTCTGAAACAGATACGAGATCAAACAAACGTTCGGATTGATATCCCACGTAAAGATGCGGTCTCTCCCGTCCAGGCTAGTGGTAATGACGTCGCACATGCATCTAATGAAGACGAGGAGGAAGAGCCAACTGTTCCGATTACTATTACTGGACCAAGGCCCATGGTTGAGGAGGCTCAAAGTATGCTTAAAGCCATCATCGCCTCCAAGACTTCAAAGACGACGCAACGCATTCGCGACATTCCGGACCATATTCTACCGTTCATCTTGGCCCGCAGTCCAGAGGAGTACTTGTCTGATGCTCCAAAAGACGCGACAGTCGATCTAAAGGGAAATACAGTTGAACGCGAAATTTTAGCACTCGGCGATAGAGAACTAGTAGCTCAAGTCGTCGAGAAAATTAAGGCCCAGATTGATGCTCTCAAGTCGGACCTCTCGAGCTTTGAATTGAATATCCCCAAACGTCAACATAGGTTGCTCATTGGCCCTGCTGCAAAGGAAATTTTACAGAATAGCAACTGTGTCGTCATTGTTCCTCGTCCTGAGGAACCAAATGACAGGATCACAGTCTGGGGCAATTCGGATGATTTCGCGAAGGCAATGCAATTCGTCACTCAGAAGGCCAAGTCTCAGCATATTCAGGAGGTCCTCTTACCCGGCCCTCTCGAGTTGTCGAAGCAAATCGTAACGTATATCACGCGGACGCAGTATCTGAGGAGCTTGACTGACGCAAACCCGGGCGTTTCGGCTTATCTTCCTCCAGCTGGGGTATTGAAAATGGCTAAAACTCTTAATATCGATCTCGTCGGTGATAAGGCAAAGGTGGAAAAGGCTGCACAGCAACTTTCTGCCTTTATCGACACCTTGGTGGGAGGTACTAAGGATGTTCCGGTGGATTGGCTTCTTCACCGCGTACTTATCGGGAAGTATGCTAAGAAGTAAGTGGTTAGAGGATGTTGTCTCTTTGCGTAGACTAACGGCCATGTAGGCTCAAACAGTTCCAGGATAACCACAACGTTAGAGTTTTCTTTCCGGATGAATCAAAGGAAGACTCCTTCGTTTTACTTGTGTACGATCCCAATTCTCCATCTGCTTCTCGTGACCGCGATGAGAAAGCCAAACACCTCGCGGAAGTTGAGAAGGAGCTCCTAAAGCTATCTCGTGATGCGGCTGATGTCAAGAGCGAGCTTATTCCGGTAGAAGCTCAGTGGCATCCATACGTTGCTGGTAAAGACGGAACTACGCTCAACGCGTGAGATATTTTTATCTGGCTGTTTCTACGAACTTCTCATAGACATTGTGCGCTTTTCTACGTAGTATTGTCGGTGAGGATAAGGCTTTGTCCATCAAAATTGGCCAGGAAGCTGGAGGCGATACTTCGGACTTCATTCTCGTCCGGGGAGCGAGCGCTGACGTGGATCGTGCTGTCAAGGAAATCCAAATCATCGTTGAGAACGCGAAGAATGAGTTGATTGACAACAGCTATGTACGTATTTTCACGATATGTCTCCCTACTGCGGTGATTAAAAAAATTCTTCACAGTCTACCGAATTTGAGATCATCCGGGACTTCGTAGGCCGTATTGTTGGCTCCCATGGAGCGGCAATTAACAAGCTCAGGGAGACGCTCGGCGTCAAGATCGATTTCTCCGATGACGCTGACGACAAGGAGAAGGATACTGGGAAAAAGAAAAAGGCGGCTCAGAAGGCAAAGGTTAAGGTATGTTTGAATAGTTAGATGTCCTTTTAGATGATTCATTCAAGTTTTCCCAAGATCGTTGGCCGGAAAGAGAATGTCGAAGAGGCCAAGAGACGTATTCTTAGTCAAGTCGAGAGGCTGGTAAGTAGCGGAGACAGCTGCGGTTCTTTGGGACTTTACTAATGTTTAATATTTTAAAAGGCTGATGAAACTTCCGAAACCCTGAAGATCCCTGCACAGTACCACTCTTCTCTTATCGGCCAGAGTGGAAAGTATGTCATCCGCCTCGAGGAAAAGTATTCTGTAAAGATTACATTCCCTCGTGGGACTGGTGAGAGTGGAGAAGGGAGGACAAGGGAATTGCTGAAGCCTGATGAAGTCCTGATTAAGGGAGGCCGCAAAGGCGTCGCGAGTGCGAAAACGGAGATTCTTGAAGTATTGCCAATTTGTTTACATCGTCGATTAGAGCTAATGAGTTGGTCATCCAGGCTGTCGAATTCGAGAAGGAGACTAATAACATTACCAAATTTACGGTCCCAACTAATTCTGTTGCTCGTATCCTCGGGAAGGGTGGTGCGAATATCAACGAAATAAAGGACAAGACTGGTGCGCAAATTGATATCGACAAGAGTACCGATGATCCGCAAATTACGAACATCACTTGCCGTGGAACCAAGAAAGCCATTGCCACCGCAAAGGCTGACATTCAGGCCATTGCAGAACAGGTTGGTCAGGAGGTTACCGTCACACTCAATATTGAAAGGAGGTTTCACCGCTCGATGATTGGTCCTGGCGGTCAAGGACTTCGAACCATCGTCACTCGTTGCGGAGGACCCAGTGATCCTAAACAACAAGCTAACCTCATTCGATTGTGAGTCGTTGATCACCGCTCGCTTGACTGTATCATATCTGACACTGTACATCCTACAGCCCTCACCAGTCTGAACCATCCGACGAAATCCGACTAAGAGGTGACGCGGTAATCGTTAAGAAGCTTCAGCAGGAGCTCGAAAAGATTGCCACGTCCCTCCGCGACCGCGTGGTTCTTTACGTTGATGTCCCCAACTCGCAACACAGGGCGTTGATTGGGAGAAATGGTCAACACCTTAACGATCTGCAAGGCCGTACTGGAGCTCAAGTGCAGTTCCCTGGGTCCCGCTCATACAATCAAGTTGGCGAAGCGGAGAATGCTGCCGACTTCAAAGACGCGGATCCTCAGAATCTTGTGAAGGTATCCGGCACGCGTGCGGCGTGCGAGAAGGCTATCAAGGAACTTACGGTAGTTTACAACTCCCTTGCTGGCAGAAGCGTTCAACTAACTCTACTTTGTATTCCAGGCAAGCATTAGAACTCCTACGACACCTACGTTCGAAGCAATCACAGACACCGTTAATGTCCCTTTGAAGTACCACCACTTCATTAGCCAGCAGGGACATCTCTTCCGCACACTTCGCTCTTTCGGAGTGAACGTCGACCAGTCGACCACTCCAACCAAGTCATTCCTTCCAACTCGCCCACCGAGCGATCAGGCTACTTCGGCTCGCATCGATGATGCGGATGAAGAACCTGCTGGCATCGAATGGCAAATCGTGCCAAACTATGAGGATGCTGAAGAGGGAGACTCTATTTGGACGCTCAAGGCCCGCGATGACTCTGGGCTCGAAAAGGCGAAGAAATATATTGCTGATGCTATCAAGCAAGCTGAAGAGTCGTCTTTGGTGGGCTTCCTTACACTCCCAGATCGGAGTGCATTCCCTCGCATTGTTGGTAAGTGGTGAATCGTACGAGCATCACGAGTGCCAGACTAATCTTGCTTTCTGCAGGTGCCAAGGGCTCTAACGTGTCGCGTCTCCGTACTGAAACTGGCGCTGACATAACTGTCAGCAGAGAGGATAATACAATTACTATCATTGGTCAGTGATCTCGTTTATTTGGCGAGGTTGATCCGATTTAAACATGCTTGACTGTAGGCTCTGAACCTTCTATCGAAGCCGCAAAGGAGGCCATCCTCCACATTCACGCAAACCGCGGCGGACGTCGTAGTGACTAGATACTCAAATTTGTCGTATTTGCTTTGTTTTACCCACACACAAAAATGCACACGGGATGGACGGATCTGATTGATCTATCTAGTTTACTATTACCTCATAACCTTTCGACCAGTTATTCCTAACATCATCCCTGTCGGGTATCGTGTCATGCTGCTCTCTCAAAAAGTATTGTCGCATATGAAATGTATCGAGTCGGGGGGCAATACATAATCTCCATTCAACGTGTTGAAATTTAGACATTGTCAATGATGTGTAAAACATTGTTATAATTTGAGTGGAAGCTCGAATCCTGAATGGTGAGCAATTAGATGTCTTGAATGCAAAGTGAAGTGGTGTGTGAAATGGAAATGAAGTTTCTGCCTTTGAATGTAGGTATTGTGAATGGTGAGGGGCAAACATCAATCCTAGCTATTTAGTGACTCATAATGTAAATCACGATATCAGAAGTCATTAAATAGAATAATTCTATTGTGTGTATTGTATGATATACAAATGGGCTGTGGTCCGCATAACACGAACAGTAACAGTGAGGATGAGCAGTAAGGAAGAGAGAGGAACTTCAAAGATAGCTTAACGAAGATCCTCTCGTTAGTTGAAGACTTCACCAACGAACGGATAAGCTCGACGACTAAGTCAGTCACACAACATGTGCTCAAGGAATCAGTCGTACGCTATTCACAGGAATACTCGAAATGAAATGACCGTTGCTTGAGAATCCTGTGTGTCTCTCGCTAGCCTAACCAGCCGACGGTATCACGTTCGTGACGAGTAATAGATAGATGGTGCATTCTGGGGATGAAAGGACGTCAGCATGAG